TAGTGAATTACAAGGTAATCTAAATGCTTATCGATTTAACTCCTACAAATAAAATTAAACTAAGTGAAAACCAGTGAATACATAAAACATTGATGTAGTTGAATGTTAAGCTCACAGTTGCTTTTCTATTGTGTGTGCTATTGTGAATAGTTATTTGTGTATAGCAATTGCTATTATTTATTTATATGTATATACGCAAAAATTATTTTATTTGATAAATAAACGTATAAAATAAGTGTCTTCCTTAGAATCTAAAATTCACAAAGGACTAGGTGTGACTGCAATTTATTTTTTAAGACAGAATGAAAGTGTATTCATAACAATTTCATTTTTTTTTTGTTCTTGTAGATCAAATATATATTTGGTTATGGTTATTTAGGTGAATGCATATGTATATGGAAACACTTCACAAAAATGAATAATCATGTGCCAACTGAATGATGATTTGATATTGGCACAGCCCATGTGTGTAATGCAAAAACTATTCAAACGACAAACAGACTGTCTCAGCACATAGCAAATTGCAGCAATTTTCAGTCGGAATTTGATGTATTTTTTTTCTTCATTATTCTGGTTAATACAAAGATTGCTGGCATACAATAAGAGCGGCGTATGCTATGTGGTTAAGGCGAACTGGAATTTGACACAAGCGCATATTACAAATGCCGTTAATAGGATTCAAAGTCATACGCACAAAACAAAATTAATTTGTCTCATTCAGATTCATGGCATGACGAGGACATTAACAGCCTCGAAGGGGATGAATGGTAAACTGAAGGAAGCGTGCACATCTCGAATTAACTAGTGCCTAGACTTTAAATCAGCCTGCTGCTTGGTGGGCTATTGGCATGCAGTGTCGAGAAAAGTGTGCAAAAAAAGATACATTGTTTATCATTGCTATTCTGACAATGGAAATAACAATTTAAGATTCCATCTTCTTCAGATCTATCTCCACAGATTTAGAACTTTGCAAGTAGAAGTATAGGCAAGAAATAGTATACGAAGCTGAAATGATATTGGGTTTTTACATCTTTGAAGAGAAATGATATTGTTCTGGCAAAAATAAGCAACTACTGGTAAAAAATAATATTATTTATAGTCAAACCAGGATCTGAGCTTTTTTTTGCACTCTGAACAAAAAGGTAATTAAGCGCCCAATTCCTGGAGGATATGGACTATTTAAATTGCGGTTCCATAATAACGTAGTAATGCCTTAAGAATCTAAACCTTTTATTACTATGCAGGATAACAAAATTAGCATCCCAATATTTACCAAATTCACTATGTCTGTCATAATACATAACCATCCTCACTATGCAGTCTAGCAAATTAGCAAATACATTGTCAAAATTCTGATACATTACTGTCCCTTCAGTTACTTACTTTAATCCAGCATTGCTGGTGACCTCTCCTCCCACTCCGACGTCGGCACCCGAGTGGAGCAGAATGCGCATGCGCGGCAAGAGCCGTGAGCGCATTCAAACAGTTCATAGGAAACCATTTCTCAATGCTTTCCTATGGACATTCTGCATGCTGGTTGTGATTTTCGCGTCCAGCGAAGACAGCCACTAGAGGCTGGATTAACCCTGCAATGTAAACATAGCAGTTTCTCTGAAACTGCTATGTCTACATGTGAAGGGTTAAAACCTGGGGGACCTGGCACCCAGACCACTTTGTTGAGCTGAAGTGGTCTGGGTGACTATACTGTCCCTTTAAGTATCTTTAGGTTTATGCACAAAGCTTGAGAGAAGATCTGATTGACACATTATCTTACCATCTGTACACACTGGGCATTATTATTCATGATTGCTTTGAAATATTTGATTTTTCATTCCAGGGTGTCTTGTGGTTGGATAAGTACGCAGATTCCTCAAGATTACAACAGTTATGTTGTTTTTAGAGAGTTCCTGGTGGGGGTTTAATATCACCTGCATAAGCCAGTGGTTTTTTTTCCCATGACCTCATATCTTATTATTGCTAATAGCCATTCAATATCCCGAATAGCAGGAGGATTAAAGGACAATGTGACCACAAATACAAAACACAAACAGTAAGATACTGGGCTTTATTGTTAATTTTTCTTGGTCTGACCGTCTTTGAAGAAACAGTAAACATACTGTTTTATCATTGTCCAGACGCTCAAACCGAAGGAGAACTTAACAAGAAGATGCAGTGGCCCTATTTGTGTAAAAATAACAAACAGGGGTCCCAGGAAGCCCCAGGTCTGTAGAGGAGAAAGGGTTTTACCTAATATAGAACATTTTAAATCTTTTCTTTTAGTATTTGCCACCTGCATAAGTAAATATTCTTGTTATGTTTCTTAAAGTCTGCAGCATACTTTACTCTGTAAGTGGAAATGTTACCTCTGAATGTCAAGAGTACAACATTGTTTTATAATAAAAAGATGAAAATACATGAATACATACTCGAAATGAAGCGTGATGTCTGTCGCCAGTATCGACTGCTTCAACAGCTGCATGAGGTCACTGTATTGCTGAGAGGACAAGTTGGCGAAAATGTTGTGTCCCTGGAACAGAAAAGCTATAAAGAATAAATAACTAAAGATACAGTTTAGAAAGCCAAACTCCTTTAAAACAATAATATCATTTTACGGAAACACAGCTGACATATATTCTGAAGACAGAATTTTACAAGTACTATAACCTGGCTTAAAGGAACAGTATAGTGTTAGGAATTCAAAACTGTATTTAGAACACGACCCTCTGACCCTCCCCTCCCTGTGACAATTAAAGCGTTGAAAACACCATCCATATACATAAGGCCTTCCCTATAGGAAAGCATTGAATAAATGCTGGATTTCCTTATGCACAGCGCGAGGACGTCAGCGTCATTTTACGGAGTTCAGCTCCAGGAAATTACAGGAAGCATCTCTAGTGGCTGTCTGGTAGACAGCCACTAGAGAAAGTCTTAGCATTTTTCTGAAACTGCAATATTTTACATTGCAGGGTTAAGGGGACAAGCACATCAATGAGAAGAATTGGTACGGGTGCTATTGGGTTTATTTCATATGCATGTTCAAAAGTTCAAAGTTGTGCTCATTAGAGAAATACAATGTAATTATAACTCCACCCAATGGCCCTTAATTTCAAAGAGTGAATGAGAAACCTTGCTCAGTCATATACAAAACCACTTATTGATTTATGTGAGAAATTCACATCCATTTTATTCAATGAATGAAACTGCTGCTCTTACCTGAATAACACATGTGCAAGTGGCTGGTCATTGAGTTCTGCTATAAACCAGAAATAAGGAAGCACATATGTAACATCATCTATTCTAGCTAACTCTCCAATGCAGAGAGTTAGAGATTGTGGCCAGAGATTGAGAGAGTATGGGGTTGAATAAAAAAAAGTGGACTTTTACCCGTTTTAGTAAATCCAGATGGCACAATATAGGCTAAAGTAAATAGATACAAAAATATTTATGATGATGGCACTCAACAGGGAAATCGGTGCCGGTATCAAGGTCACCCTAAAAACCTGCGACTGGTGCCGGACTCCGGAGATTCTAAAGCAGTACACTCCATTGATTCTGCAACCTCCATTCCACATGCATCTATTACTTTGATCAGGGCTGATTTGCCCAACAGGGTGGTGAGACTGAAACTGTTTTTTTCTCTTTTTCATTCTTTTCTCCTTTTTTGAAATGTTTTAATTTTGCAATTTTTTCACCTTTTTTGACTATATACAGTTTTTTCATTTTTTTGCACCATTAACGTGGAATATAGACATCCATGTATAGTTATGGACTAACCATCAAGACATTTTTACTGATATTTTTTTCTATGGGGTGCATTTACTACAGTAACTCTTTTTGATCGTAGAAGTATATACTTCCTCCGATACAGCCATTGAGTGATCTATGTATTTCATGAGTTTGATGTGCTGATGACATTATGGGCACACAGATTAAATGTATTTTCCCTTTGAATGTATTCTGAACACAGGGTCTGATTTTGTATATTTCAATACAACAATTTGCCATATTAATTTGAGTGCGGTATCCTATTTATTGATTTAAAGCAGGGCTTCTCAACCCAGTCCTCAAAGACCCCCGAACTGTCCAGGATTTAGGGATTACCCTGCTGTGTCTAATGTGTTTTTTGGGGGGGGGAAGGGAACAAGCACTTTAGACACAACAGGGTAATCTCTAAATCCTGGACTGGTAGGGAGTCCTTGAGGACTGGGTTGAGACCCCTGCTTTAAAGTAAACAGATGTATAATTTTCCAGATCAGCTTTTTTAACCTACATTTTGGCAGGTACATTTCATTTAGTAAAATGCAGTGGCTAGTGAATAACTGTGAATAAGATGTATTATGTGTTATCTATAATGTTATCGGCAGTGGCGTACATACCGGGGTCGCAGGGGTCGCGGCTGCGACCGGGCCCGGCCCACTGAGCTGGCCACCTCAGGGCCCCCCGAGGCTGGCCGTGATATCACCCGGCAGGCACGCGAGGGAGCACTCTCCCTGGCAGAGTGCTTCCTCTTCAGCTCCCTCGCGCACCACACTGATACCGGAGCCGGAAGATGATGTCCTCTTCCAGCTACGGTATCAGTATGCGGCGCGCGAGGGAGCTGAAGAGGAAGCACTCTGCCAGGGAGAGTGCTCCCTCGCGCGCCCGCCGGGTGATACCACTGGACCCCAGGGAATCCCCTCAGCTCTCCCCAGGGACGTATTAGCCGCGAGGCAAACAAGGCATTTGCCTTGGGCGGCATTTTTCAAGGGGCGGCAAAAAACGCCGCCCCCCAAATGCCCAGGGCAGATGCCTTGTTAGCCTTGCGGCTAACTGACATCCCGGGCGGCCGGCGAGGGAGCACTTCCCATGAGCTGACTGCTCAGCTCCCTCGCGCACCGCAAAGTGAGGCTGGGAGCCGGAAGATGACGTCATCTTCCGGTTCCCAGCCTCACTCTGCAGCCGACGCGCGAGGGAGCTGAGCAGTCAGCTCATGGGAAGTGCTCCCTCGCCGGCCGCCCCCTGCCAGCGCCGCCCGCCCTGCAGCCACTGGACCACCAGGGAGAGAGACCCCCCCCAGCACTCCCAAAGGTAAGGAGGTTGGGGGGGGATTTAAATAAAGTTAATGTGTGTGTGTGTTTGTGTCTGACTGTGTGTGTTTGTGAGTGTGTGTTTGTGTCTGTGTATGTGTCTGACTGTGTGTGTGTTTGTGTCTGACTGTGTGTGTTTGTGAGTGTGTGTTTGTGTCTGTGTATGTGTCTGACTGTGTGTGTGTGTGTGTGTGTGTTTGTGTCTGTGTATGTGTCTGACTGTGTGTGTGTGTGTTTGTGTCTGACTGTGTGTGTGTGTATGTGACTGTGTGTGTCTGTGTGTGTGTGTTTGTGTCTGACTGTGTGTGTCTGACTGTGTGTGTGTTTGTGTCTGACTGTGTATGTGTGTGTGTGTGTGTGTCTGACTGTGTGTGTGTGTGTTTGTGTCTGACTGTGTATGTGTCTGACTGTGTGTGTGTGTGTGTGTTTGTGTATGTGTCTGACTGTGTGTGTGTGTATTTAGAAGGTGGGGCGGGGGGAAGGGTTGGGTGGGGGTGGCGCGGGGGGGAGGGGGGCGCCTGAGTTTTGTCCTGCCTAGGGCAGCACAAAACCAGGATACACCACTGGCTCTCCCACAGGCAAAGAGGCTGGGGGATTAATTTTTTTTTTAAAACCTGAGTGTGGAGGTTAGAGTGTTAGAGTGTGTGTGTGTGTGTTAGTGTGTGTTAGAGTGTGTGTGTGTTAGTGTTAGAGTGTGTGTGTTAGTGTGTGTGTGTTTTGTAAGTGAGTGAGTGTGTGTCTGTCACTGAGTGTGTGTCTGTCAGTAAATGTGTGTGTCTGTTAGCTAGTATGTATGCGTCTGTTCGTGAGAGTGTGTGTGTCTTAAGCACTTACCTTACTCCCGCGCCGGATCTCCCTTGGCGCTGGGGATCTCTCCGCCCCAATCCACCTCTCAGCTCCGAATGCGCATGCGTGGCAAGAGCCGCGCGCGCATTCAAACCGCCCATAGGAAAGCATTACTCAATGCTTTCCTATGGACGTTCAGCATCTTCTCACTGTGATTTTCACAGTGAGAATTGCAGAAGCTCCTCTAGCGGCTGTCAATGAGACGGCCACTAGAGGCTGGATTAACCCTTAGTGGCTCTGAAACTGCTATGTTTTCAGCTACAGGGTTAAAACTAGAGGCACCTGGCACCCAGACAGCTGATGTGACCTGGGTATCTGTAGTGGTCCTTTAAGTGTATGTGTATCTGCATGTGCTGGCGTACATACCGCAGAGTAAGCGCGCAATGGGGGGGGGGAGGGGGCACGGATCAGTTTTCGCACCGGGGCCCCATGGGTTGTGTGTACGCCACTGACTGCAGGGGCATGATCTATACACCAAAACCACTTCACTAAGTTTTGGTGGTTAGGCTGTTCCTTTAATTCACTAAAAATCAGAGTTCAGCAAATAACATGTCTTTAAATGGCATCCCTAATTCATCTGCCTATGTGGCAAGGCCTGGCGTTTATTCAATTTAAATTAAGGCATCTAGGTAAATCCTAAACTGTCTTTATTGCAGAATTCTATATTAGCCACATTGTAGAGGTTATTTACAAAAATGGGAAATGGGTAGATTAACAAAGACTTGCTTAGTCCAAATTAGCCTAAAGTTGACTTATCCAATGTTTAGCAGTCCCCTTGCCATTTCTTCACAACTGATGGATTACTGAAAAATAAAAATCTATTGATACAAGGAGACATTTCATGGCTGGTATTTGGAACACTGATCAAGATGAGCAGCTATTACACAGGGGTTTGCATGTCTACCATCATTATAACTTGGTTAGTAATGTTATTGTGGTTTAAAATTACAATACGGTTACTACTGTGATCAATCACCAATAATAATAGCAATAAGCCTAATTATTAATTGTCTCCGAGTGGCAGACGATTAAGGAGCATTTATAAACAATAATTCTATTAATTAATGAGTGTTCATCTCATGCTTTAATAAAGCCACATAGATGATTAGAGGATTATTATGCGCTCTCCAGCTGTTAAACAAATAAATATCTGATATGATATATATACATGATGCTCTGACAGCAAGTTCCTGGCCAAATGTTCTGTGAGAGCATGGATTTCGGAGTTTAACAGCAGCAACAGAGTTACCGGCTAGAGCTGCCCTGGCTTTAGATGCTGAGGTAGAAAAGATCACAAACATTGGCAGAGAATAAGAATGTCTTGCTTCCTACGAAACATATGCAGTGTTCAGAACTGACAGCTACCTCGATATACGTTAAAATCACATGATGTCACTGTTTTTTCTATATGGCACAACAAACACTTCCATACAATTTTAGATCCTTGGTAAAATAACTCCTCACTTAGCTGAAATATAACTTCTTCTACAGGAAACCTCCAGAGTTTTCCACCCTAACCTCCATCGCTTCCCCTCTTTACCAGACTTATTCGTGAGACCTATATGCAACATTCTGAGGCTCGATTGTATACTAGAAGGTTTACTCCACGCACCATGACCACTTCAGTGATTTAAAGTGGTTATGGTGCCTGGAGTCTGGATGCGAAATGCTTCTCATGTTTTACTCCTCTTCTGTCGGAGGTGTAAGTCCACTTCAGGCAGTGTCATTGGGGTGTTATCAGCCAACCAAGGACTAGAGTTCCATGCCAACTCATTTTTAATAATGTGCAACTTTTGTTGCACAGAATGTTAGTCATTGGTTGAAAGTAGTCCGCTCTCAGCCAATGATTTGCAACGGCCATGGCTTATGGCTTTTGTGTCTCTGCAGAAGCTGGAAGATCATCACCGGACCACCAGAGTGTATTGGACTTGGAAGGGGGCAAACCATTGCTAAATGATTTTCCCTGTTACTAGGAAACTGGGCCAGGGTAATCCTGGCATCGTAACCAGTACACCAGGCTTATATACAACCTTTTTTAAGAGTTAATCAATTATGATGCAAGGTTTGGTTTGATGGATGATTATCACCTGATTTGACTTTCCAGTTAAGCCCTGTTGGTATACCTGCTTATTGAATGCCTCTTATACCCTCTGCCAATGCCTAGTTAATTTGTAACTGTAACACAACTGTAATACCACCAAACTCCTGCCCACATTGAAATTAAAACATTGGATGAGTTTTGCTCTAGTCTGCTATTTCTAAAATGATGTTGGTTTGTAAGATGGTCCAGGTAAGGTGATTCTGACCTTGTAATGTGACCTATACATTGTAATGGTTAAACTGTGCTTTCTCCTGTATATTGTTTATAACTATTGCTACTCATTCTTTTTTTTTTCTTGTAAAATGCTTAAAATTTTACAAATAAAAATAAATATGCATTTTACAAAAAAAGCCCCATAAATTGATCCCATTAATTGATAAACTTCCCTACAATATAGTACATTATAAATATTGCATGCCTAAGGGTCATGCAATGCGATTCACTCATTGATAATGTCTGCAAATGATACTGAGGATCAGTGCTTGATAATTCTGAGCCAAACGTGTAAGTATTACCATCATGCTTTTCCTATACATATCGCTTCTGTCTGTGGGATTAATCCAATCCTCAGTTCAATGCCCTTACAGAATGTTTGGATACTCTGCCATCTGCTGGTGATTCTATCGCACAGCTTGCAAACGCGGAGAACATTGACAGAATTAATTCAGCAGATGGGCTGCAGGTTCAGAAAATCTGCTAATGAGACATTGGGGTTTTGCTCACAAAACCAGGAATCATGGTGAATTAATGAGAGAACAGCATATTTTCAGCCAAAATAGCGAAGCCGGAAAAATAGCTGTGTTAAAATATTTTCCAATTCAACGACTTCACCTGATTTTGCAATTCCCTGGTAATTTCTTCATTGCAGACTTATTGAATAACCCCATAAGTCTCTGGACCCAATATAAGTAAACACAGTAATAGATTATTATGTATATTTTACTGCATAAAAAAGCAGTGCAGTAACGCCCATTTTTCAGGAATCATATCTGAAGATAGGTGTTCTTGTATTGTGAACTCCCTGGTGCTTTTAATTTTTAATTTACTTATAATTTCCAGTATGGCGATCATGTTTGGGCTGTAGCTGTACTTGACGTGAATAGGAATTATATAATCTCACAGACTGGAGTTGTTACAGTCCTAGAGAGGTAGGTAGATAAGTAATACGGCTGAGTCATGAGGGCCCCACGAAACATTGGTAGGCCACAGTTACACAGACCTACTGTGGTAGTAATTGATCCGTCATCTGTATGTAGAATGTAGAGTAAATTGTTTTATGTGAAAGAGACAAAATTCAAGCAGACTATTATCGCACCATGGCCTGTAAATTCAGATTATCCTGGGGGGGTCACATCAAACTAGTCATAAATCCTAGAAAGGTTGCTGACTTCTCATTTGTGACCATACAACTCTAGCCTAACCTTTCTATAAGCAGGAGTATACCAACCGATTAGTTGGATCTCTACCTGGCCGGCCATGAGGGACCTGCTGTATTTGCAAAAAGGGTCTTTGTGGGATTCTACAATCTTAATCCCTTAAATAAATGGAACATTGTTTAACAAGAAGACTACATGGGGTTGTGGTGCTTGGAACTGCATGGACCTTTATACAAACAGAGATATACTAGCATAACTGGGGAAGAGTGAAGAAACACATTTTAAACAATGGGTTGCCTAAAACAGGGTAACAGTTTAATAGAGTCTGTCACACAGTATGGAATGGGTCATTTCTTGCTGTTAGCAATAGTTTACCAATTACTGCAATGGCATAGTTCTGCTAAAACTCGTTTAGGAAAGTGAATATACAGGGATTCAGCATGCAAGCACTGTAGTAAGGATATAGATCAGATCAGTCTGCTTTGCATAAATTGGATGGACCCCATGTGGTTGTGTTCTTTAATCTGACTCTGCATGGAGAGAGTTCCAGAGTTTTTCAGTATATGAAATGGCTAATTATTGGTTGTCTTCAGTCTGTTCAGGATTCATACATATTGCTGACCAGATTATTACTGACCAAACCTCTAGCCTAATCCTAGTATGTCAGTCATCATGTGACCTACTGTACAGGTCTCCTGCCTTGCCATAGCATCAGTGGACTCAATCTGCAATCAAATGTGGTGAAGACCATCAGTAGGTTAATTTGTTAATCTTGATGGCTAAGTATCACCCACCACTTACACATTGTAAAGTCAAGTGTTCCTCACTCCATGTACCCCGTTAAAGAAATATCTGAAAATGAAATGACTGAGATACATTTGGCCAGATGTGCGAACTCTGAAATCTGACTCGATGACCGAAGTTATCATTATAGTCGACATTGCTTTGATAATACTGAAGTCTAGTGGCTCAAAAACAAGTGAAACATTTAAAGATACC